GTCACCCCCTTAAAGAACATTGACTTTCCCTCACCCAGCAGTGATCAGTTGGCAATAGTTCCTCAGCTAAGGTTGGGGCCTGCTGCCCATTTCCCCAGTTCTGTGCTGGGTTTTTGTCTGATTGGGTTTGCATGGATCTTGTACATGCTGATGCCATTGCTGTAAGTTCATATGAGCATGTTCCCAGAAGCCTGGAGGACTCTTTCCTTATGTTCATGTCCTACCTCTTGCTTTTACAACCTTTCTGTCCCTTCTTCTGCAATGGTTCCTGAGCCCTGGGTGGGTGAACTTTAATGTGCATCCTATCCAGGGAAACGCACTCTGCAGTCTCTTATTCTCTACATTTTGGTCAGCTGCAACCTTCTGTGTTCATCAATGAAGGACGCTTCATTGATGAGCTTTTGAGAGACGTTCCGTGAGCCTTCGATGTACAGGTTCCATTGTAGATGTGCCCATTTAGGGCTGGGCACCTCACAGACACGTTAACAATGCACTTTTGTTAAGAGCATCCATGAAATTGCATGAGGTTGGAGGATGGCTCAGCTGTTAAGAACACTGGCTGCTCTTCCAGAGGACCCGGGTTCAGTCCCCAGTACCCACATGGCAGCTAACAGCCATCTGTAACTCCAGCTTCCAGGAATCCAGCTCCCTCTTCTGGCCCACATGGGCACTGCATGCATGTGGTGCATGTACTTACATGCAGACAAAACACTCATACCCTTAAAATAAAAATATACAAATAAAATAAATCACAGGAAAAAAATCTTATGAACAGTTTATAAGTAATTTGAAAACATGTTCAACCACCCAGAAAGTAAGTTGCAGCAGTGAGAATCACTTTTTCATCTAACAAACTGGCAAAGATCCCAAAGTATATATGTCAGTTCATTTCAATTCTTAACTTGATTCTATTAAGAAACATCTAGGGCCAGGGCTGAAGAAATGGCTTAATGGTTAAGAACATTTGCTGTTCTTCCAGAGGATCCAGGTTCAATTTCCAGAACCCACATGGCAGCTAACAACCATCCATCTGTAGTAGCTTCTTCTGACCTCCAAATGCATTAGCATGTATGTGGTGCATCTACATACATGAAAGCAAAACACACACATAAAAAAATACAGAATAATAATAAATAAAATTTAAAGAAACAAGCCGGGTGTGGTGGCACATGCCTTTAATCCCAGCATTCGGGAGGCAGTGGCAGGCGTATCTCTGTGAGTTCCAGGCCAGCCTGGTCTACGTAGTGAGTTCCAGGCCGGCTGGGGCAACAGGGAGACCCTGTGTCAAAAAGACAAAAACAAAACAAAAGATCATTATGTACAAAGGTGATCCTGCAGCATTTTCCACCTTGTGGGCTCCAGGGATTGAACTTGAGTCATCAGGCCTGGTCACAGGCACCTTACCCACTGAGTCATCTCACCAGACCAAGGAGGGGATTTTCCTCACAGAGGAAATCCTGTCCAGACTCTGGGAAACCCCAAGTGAAAGTCGCAGGGAAGTTGAAATAGACCACATATGTTTCCAAAACAAAGGAACCACACCAAGACTGTTCGAAACACTCCCACACAGCAGGACATTTTTTTTTTTTTTTTTGAGACAGGGTTTTTCTGTAGCCCCAGATGGCCCAGAACTTACTATGTAGACCATGTTGGCCTCCATCTCACAGAGATCCACCTGCCTCTGCCTCCCGAGTACTGGGATTATGTGCCACCACATCCAGCCTACCACAGGGCTTTTTTAAAAGTTTATTTCATTATGTATTTGTATGTGTGTGTGGCGCAGCAGTGCCAGAAGAGGGCATCAGATCCCCTGGATCTGCAGTTATAGGCAGTTGTGAGTCACCCAGTGTGGGTGCTGGGTATTGAACATGGGTCTTCTGGAAGACAAGTAAGCCCTTTTAATTAATGAACCATCTCTCCAGCCCCCCACCCCCAGGACTTTTAGCTAAGCCTCTGAAGAAGCTAACCTGGCCCTGTGGATGCATACAGCCCCAGTCTAGGTTGAATAGTGCCCCCAAGACCAGGTTGCAGAGTACCTCCAAGTCCATGTCCACTGAGAAACTCAGAAAGTGACTTTACTTGGAAATAAGATATTTGCAGGCATAAACAGCTATGATAAGGACATATTGATTTAAGGTGAATCCTATTTCAATGGCTGTCATCCTTATAAGAAAGCCCAGTGAAGACACGGGGTCATACAAGGAGGACCCATGTGAAGACAGACACAGTGTCTAGAGTGACACTTCTGTAAGGCATGGAGTGCCAAGGACTGCTGGAAAACCAGGTAGTTTGGAGAGAGGCATGGAAAGGGATCTCCCTCAAAGACTCCAGAAAGTTCCAACCCTGCACCAGCATCATTATGGCTTCTAGAAACATGGGAAATAAATATTTTTTTAAGCCACCAAGTTTGTGGTACTTTGTTAGAGCGGCCCTAGGTGAGTCCCCAACAACCAACAATTCATATTTCAAGGCTTAGAAACTTTTCTGTAAAGAGCAGATAGTGGGTCTGGGAGATGGCTAAGTTGATCCCCAGAACCTACATTTTAAAAAGCCAGGCTCATGCTTGTGACCTCAGTGCTGAAGAGGCAGAAACAGGTGGATCCTTGCTGGCCAGCCAGACTCTCCTACTTGACACGTTCAATACCAGTAAGAGATCCTGGTCTCAAAAGGCAGGGCTGGAGAGATGCCTTAGTGCTTAAGAACATATGTTGCTCTTCCAGGACCTGAGTTCAATTCTCAGCAACATGTCTAGCAGCTCTCAACCACCTGTAACTCCAGCACCTGGGGGATCCAACACCTCTTGTATCCTCAGGTACGTGCACTCACGTACACATACCCACATACAGTCATATACATATACACACAATCAAAAATAAAAATTAAATCTTTTTTTTTTAAAGTAAGGTGGACAGCATTTGAGGTGTGAGTTGTATGATCTTGGTTCCAAATACTCAGCTGTACCAGCGCGTTCACGTTGCCACAGGCAGTTGGCGGATGACCCCTTGTGGGCATGCTCCAACAACTTTGCTGAAGACCGATGGCAGCAGGATGTGGCCTTAGCCTGCCTGAGGACAGGTAGTTTCGATGAAAGCCATGGGCAGCTCCATATGTCAGGGAAGAAGAGGGGACCTCAGATCCCACACCAGGGCCCAGCACCCCGAGCAGCACACACTGGACTCCACCTGAGACCTCATCACCCACAGGAAGAATGAGCCCTAAAATAATGCCCACGACTTATATGCTAAAGCCCTTTGATCAAATGTTCCTTTTCAGTAATTTGCTTTATTAAGCAAAATCTGTAAACTCAGGAAAAGGTAACTTCATGCTGAAATAACTGTTGAAAATAAAATTGCCAAGCCAGCAAGATGGCTCAGTGTGCAAAGGCACCTGCTGCCAAGCCTGACCACCTGAGTTCAATCCCCAGAACCGGTAGTAACCAAGTCATGCAAATTTCCCTCTGACCTCCACATGCACCCCACACATAGGCACACAAAATAAATAAATAAATATGCAACATAAAACTGCCGTTACTATTAAAATGTCCAAAACACCTTTTAAGAAGTTGGAAAAAACTTATTGCTAATTAATGTCTTTAAAGTAAAACCACATGTCCGCACAGACCCTCATTTCCCAAGGCTCACTAAAATTCCTTTCTAAATCAGTGTATATTTTGCTTAAACCACCTCAATTCTTCGAAATAAAAAAATCTAAAATAACTCCAAAATCCTCTGAACATGTGATTGATTCCACCATTTCCTGACTTTTAAACGTTGATTAATTCAGATAGCAGATGCTAGACTAGATCATGACCTGACAGGGGTGAAGGATTTCAAAAGCTCCCTCGAAGTTAATCTGTAAACAATCACTGATAAACAGGCTACGGATGGGTCAGTTGGTAAAGCGCCTATCCTTGAAAGCGTGAGGTCCTATGTACTTAGGACCTCTGGTTCCCACATAAAAGTCAGGCACAGCAGTACATGTCTGTCATTCCAGCAGTGGGAAGGGACAGAAATGGCCCAGCCCCTATAGCGACATAGCTGAATTAATGAGCTCATTTTAGTGAGAGGCTGTCTCAAAAAATAAAGTGGTGTGTGATTGAGGAAGACACTCATTGTCAACCTCTGGCCTACAAACACTTGCACACAGGTACACGTTCACCCGAACACACATGCACAATACACACAGGAGGGAGA